GGGTAGTCGGCTCAGGCTAGACGGGAGCCATCAAAGCCGAAAAGAGACGGTGAGAGGAACAAGGAGAAAAAAATTATATATATGCCCTAAGGACCTTGAGCCGGAGCTAGGATTAGAAATCTGACGTGATTGGAGAGAATATGATAAGTGTAAAATTGGACTTGGGGAAATGATAGCCAAGTCATGCAAAGACGAATTGCTTTGCCTAACTAAGGTGCTGACACGAGGGCAAAGCCCTGGATGATAGAGGATGTTGACATGTGTGCCAACAATGTATGGCTTCGCAGTGATCAAAGTGTAGGATAATCTCCGGTTAGTCTATCTCTCTAACACGGAGTTATGCAGAGTGGGTGACAAAGAGCAGGGGTACTACATTTTATTAAGAAAAAAGCAAGCTGGCAATGCAATTTGAAGATCATCTGGGGATGCTGTCTTCTATAATAATTGTAAGATTTAAGGAAGAGGAAGATCAGGAAGACGAAGAACAGAACGAGGACAACGGGTTGGCCCACGTGAATAACCTCGGAAATACATAAATCCGAGTGGGTTTAGGTGGTCAATCCGGTATATCGTCAACAAAAGAGTCTCTTGTTATTCGTGATTCCTTAATTCTGTTCCCGTTATGATTTGCTGAGACTGTGTATCTTTCCTCTCTATTTCTCAATCCCACCCTTGTGTGACCCCTCTTGCCTTTTCACACCCCCCGCGGCATGATCCACCATGGCCGACCCTTCAATGTATAACACCATGGGTCAGGGATCTGGCGAAGACCCCTCCAACCCACAATACATGGCTCAGGCTCCCTCTCAGCAATACCCAGCTGGGTATCCTCCAGGCGCCGCGCCTCCACAACCAGGAGCGCCTTACGCCAATCCAGCGCCAAATCAGTGGGCCGCCTACGGCTCGCCCCAACAACCGGGTTTGGCGAGTCCCGGAATCGCATACAATGCACCACAACAACCAATGGGTGTAGCAGGAGATCCTGGTATGGCAGGTCTAGCCTCTCAGATGACTGGTTTGGGAATTGCAGCAGATGCGGGGGCCAGGACACACCGGAAGAAGCACCGTCATGCCCACCACGATATCGGGGGTAGTGCAGCACCCCCGGCGCAGGGATTCAACACTGGCATGGACCAAGGGGGCTTGCAGCAACCGCAGCAACAACAGCAACAATCGCAGTTCCTGAATACGGGTTTGAACCAACATGCCGACAGACCAGTTTCGCCGGCGGTGGGGTTGGTATCCGGGCAGTCTGTCGCCGCAATACCTGGAATTCAGAGTGGTGCAGGTTCTGTCCCTACTTCAGGCCGAATTGACCCAGAGCATATCCCCAGCATCCCACGATCGCGCGATCTGCCCGCTCAGTACTATTTCAACCATGTCTACCCGACAATGGACCAACACCTCCCCCCACCAGCGGCGATCCCGTTCGTGGCTCAAGACCAAGGCAACTCATCTCCTAAATACGCTCGTTTGACGCTCAACAACATCCCCTCCGCCTCTGACTTCCTTACCTCGACCGGCTTGCCATTGGGCATGATCCTGCAGCCCCTCGCCCCTCTGGATCCCGGCGAACAACCGATCCCCGTGCTGGACTTCGGGGATGTTGGCCCCCCGCGATGCCGACGATGCCGAACATATATCAACCCATTTATGTCCTTCCGATCTGGCGGCAGCAAGTTCGTCTGTAATATGTGCACGTTCCCGAACGATACGCCTCCCGAATACTTTGCGCCGCTGGACCCATCTGGTGCGCGTGTGGATCGCATGCAGCGTCCTGAATTGCTGATGGGAACTGTCGAGTTCACGGTCCCGAAGGAATACTGGAACAAGGAGCCGGTGGGCCTTCAAACCCTCTTTTTGATCGATGTCAGCCGGGAGTCGGTTCATCGGGGATTCCTCAAGGGTGTGTGTGCAGGTATCAAGGATGCTCTATACGGCGATGATGGATCAGAGGGCGCCGAAGGAGATGAATCATCAAGGAAATTACCCGCTGGAGCGAAGGTCGGCATTGTTACGTATGATAAGGAGGTGCACTTCTACAACCTGAGCGTATGTGTTCCTCATCCTGCTATGCTTTCGTCTATTAACACATCCACAGGCGGCATTGGATCAAGCACAAATGATGGTTATGACTGATATGGATGAGCCATTTGTTCCGTTGGGCGAAGGTCTCTTTGTGGACCCATATGAATCGAAGTATGAGATCCCTTATTCCTGGTGTACTACAGATCACTAACTATGTTAAGGTCTTTGATCACTTCTCTTCTCGGCCGGATACCCAAAATCTTCTCTTCTATCAAAAACCCCGAGTCAGCATTGCTGCCAACATTGAACTCGGCGCTCTCCGCACTGCAATCTACAGGTGGAAAGATCGTCTGCGCGGTGGCTAGCTTACCTACCTGCGGTCCGGGACACTTGGCGATCCGAGAAGATCCTAAACTTGCTGGGACGGATGCGGAACGGAAACTTTTCACCACAGAAAACCCAGCTTGGAAGAAGACGGCAAGCAAGTTGGCTGAGGCTGGCGTGGGCTTGGATCTGTTCATGGCAGCCCCTGGTGGCACATACCTCGATGTAGCAACAATTGGTATGTTGAAAGTGCCATTGCACCCCCCTCCCAACACAGAGGAGTATCGGCTAACATCTCTTATAGGACACGTCTCTAGTCTAACCGGGGGCGAGACATTCTTTTACCCTAATTTCCATGCTCCACGCGATATCCTCAAGCTACGGAATGAAATCGCTCATGCCGTCACTCGTGAGACGGGTTATCAAACCCTGATGAAAGTCCGATGCTCCAATGGACTTCAAGTGTCTGCCTACCACGGAAACTTTGTCCAACACACACTTGGCGCCGATCTGGAGATTGCCGGTGTTGACGCCGACAAGGCTATCGGTGTGCTCTTCAGCTACGATGGGAAACTCGATCCCAAGCTGGATGCCCACTTCCAGGCCGCTTTGCTTTACACTTCCGCAGATGGTCAACGCCGTGTCCGATGTACCAACGTTGTGGCGGCAGTGAATGAAGGAGGCATGGAAACGATGAAGTTTGTCGACCAGGATGCCGTGGTCTCAGTTATTGCCAAAGAGGGTAAGTTGGATAATCTACCAGAAGACGTTGACTATGTATACTGATACGATTATAGCCGCCTCGAAAACTCTGGATAAGAGCCTCAAGGACATCCGATCCAATATCTCGGAGAAGACAATTGATATCTTCAGCGGATACCGTAAGATCTTCTCCGGCTCGCACCCACCCGGCCAGCTAGTTCTACCCGAGAATCTGAAGGAGTTCTCGATGTACATGCTCAGCTTGGTCAAGTCGAGAGCATTCAAAGCCGGGCCCGAGTCATCAGACCGACGGGTGCATGACATGCGCATGATCCGGGCAATGGGCTGCACAGAGATGGCCTTGTACCTCTACCCTCGCATTATCCCCGTGCACAACATGCAGCCGGAAGATGGATTTGCGAACGAGCACGGACAGCTTCAAATCCCGCCCTCCCTGCGAGCCAGCTTCTCTCGTATTGAAGATGGTGGTGTCTACATCGTGGACAACGGGCAGGCGATTATCCTCTGGCTGCACGCGCAGGTCTCACCCAATTTACTGGAAGACCTATTCGGGCCGGGCCATGACTCCCTCCAAGGCCTGAACCCCAACACTTCGTCCCTGCCTGTGCTCGAGACGCACCTGAACGCACAGGTGCGTAATCTGCTGCAGTACCTGTCGACGGTGCGCGGGTCCAAGTCCGTAACGATCCAACTGGCTCGGCAAGGCATGGATGGGGCGGAGTACGAGTTCGCCCGACTCCTGCTGGAGGACCGGAATAACGAGGCCCAGAGCTATGTGGACTGGCTGGTGCACATCCACCGTCAGATTAACTTGGAGTTGGCTGGTCACCGGAAGAAAGAGGACGGCAGCGAGGGCGCATTGGCTAGTTTGTCAGCCATGCGCGCTCCGTATTGGTAGATGCCTGATCCGGGATCCTCCGTCCAACCCCTCCCTGTCAGGCACCGTTCATTAGCGGTTGGTTCCCCTGGCGATCTAGACTGCAGGGTAAACTGCAGAGAATGAAATCGGAGAGGCCCTCATTGGTGGGGCGTTTGATGGGGGTCGGGGGGCCAGCTACTTAGTCCCACCCAGACTGGGCATGTCCACCGATGACTGTGACACTGACCTCAGTGGCTTACGGAGGCACATTGATGGGAGTCAAGTAGCATCCGAGCTCAAGTGTGTGAAGTTAAGAATTAAAACAGAATAATTGTGAGACATCGGAGAATCATTTGTGGTATACCAAGGGTAGTTGTTTTTATTATTATTATCATTATTATTGTCACAATCTCTGTGCTCATGGTAAATGCCATTCTACAGCTATTGCCAATGGCCTTTTTTTAAGGTGGTTTTAGTCGGACTTTATCAGGTAATGCTACCCTAAATGATTCTATCAGATAATGTTCTGTGTACAATACAGAACATGAGCCAGACTCGATTCGCCAGGTACGGTCAGGGTCCAGATCAACGTAAGAGGCGTCTAGCGGGGTGTTGCTAAATATATCATTGGCTTAGAGGCTCAGGGCAACACTCCAACACTACATTCTAGGTACTATTGTACATAGTATTTTCATTCTCATCTACCTAGTAAGGACAAGTTTGTATATGAATTAACTATCGACATATACAGGACATGGAGCCAGGCCGGTCGGGTTGGTAATTGCAGTAATTGTAGTACTTCTAGTAATAATCCGTAGGAGATATTATCATTGGCTCGATTGATATTAGAATACTGCTTATTATTGTACAATATACTTGCCTCCTTATGATGTTGAAGTACAATATACACCTTGGCTTCTTCTCGACACTCATTAGTTGCCATGGAATATTTGCCGCAGATTTTGTTGGATTTTAAAATTCTAGATTTTAGAATAAATTTCTTAATTTCTTAAATTTTTATTTTTTTTTTTTTTTTTTTTCAATTCTACCATAATTTCCCCGAATGTCATCCGAGGAAGAGGATAGAAATGTTGTGGTGGCCAACATATCCGCGTATAACGAGCTCCAAACCCCAGTGGTTCCTGGCGAAAAATGGGAGATAAGTGGATGTGCAGCCATGTTTCCAAGCTTCTCCCATGTTCTTTGCCATAGAGTTTTGCTGGTTCAGAGATTTTAGTCTGATTCCTTCCATCTGGTTGGAAGAACCGCGGAGGCCGTCGGATTGGGTCATGACGTGGAGTTCAAGGGGTAGTGGACACTATTGCCACACTGTCAGTTGGGGCTTTTAGGCGATCAGTGGGGCGATTTCATAGGTGGTAACCCGTATGAACACGTAGAAACCTCTATACCGACACGCTTAAACTATAGAGTAACTAACTATACGATGTGCAGGTAGCGGTGATGCCCTAACTGGTAGCAATGCAGGTGATGCAGATACGTAGAACAATGTAGGTACGTAGTATATATCTTACATATCTCGTAAATACTATTGCAGTTTGATTCTACCCAACTGTTCAATGGTCTGGGCCTTCTCTGGGACTTGATAGAAACTCCAATAAGCAAGCCCTGGGGCGAGACTCTCTGAATTGGTTCCACCCTTTTATTTTATTTTATTTTATTTTTATTTTATTTTTTATTCTTTTGCCTTTTCGCCTTTTGCCTTTGAATTGGCCCACAATTCCCTAACCCGATCCATGGCTCGAGGCAGGGGTGGCTTCACACGTTTTCTTTCAGTGCCTGGATGGATCACTCAGGGTCTGTATGAGTCTCTTTGGAAAAATATCTATATAAACCCCCTCGTTCACCCTCCGGAGATTTCTATTCTTCATCACAATCAGTACATTCCTTCTATTCATATTCATTCTCTTCAAATCTCGAGATTTACTCTCGTTGCATTCCTTACATCTGTCGACCAGATTCAAAAATCACAATCCAACTATATCATTCTCTTATATATAACATCTCACCTATCAAGATGATGTTCACCAAGACTCTCGGCCTTGCTGCCCTCTTCTCCACCATCGTCTCGGCTCTTCCCCAGGATATGGTCCGCCGCTCAGGCATGGTCCGCCGTGACGGCGGCGGTGTCACGATCACCAACAACCTCGCCCAGGACGTCTACGCCTGGTCCGTTGCCGGCGACGTCGGCCCCATGCAGACTATCACCAGCGGCGGTGGCACCTTATCCGAGACATGGCGCACCAACCCCAACGGCGGTGGCATCTCTATCAAGCTGGCTCTCGACCCCAACCAGCACGATGTTCTCCAGTTCGAGTACACCGAGGCCGGTGACACCATCTTCTGGGACATGTCTTGCATCGACATGGAGGCTGGCAACAACAAGTTCACGGACTTCGGCTTCTCTGTCATCCCTACTGATGAGACTTCCACTTGTCCTAAGGCCATTTGCCAGGCTGGTGACTCTGCTTGCTCTGCCGCTTACCTCAAGCCCACTGATGACCATGCCACCCACGGCTGCCCCATCAGCACTAAGCTTGACCTGACCATTGGCCAGTCTTGAAAAAATTTGTTCCAATATTTGTTCGGTGATTTTTGTTTTGCCGGTTGAACCGTGCATCCTTTCTTTTTTTTATACCTTTTCACGCACTTCGCATCTAGCCCTAGCCGGCAGATGATTCTTTCTTTCACATATTACCCTAGATGGTGATGACCTTTTTTGGGGGATGAGATTGGTGATTATTTTTGTTATGCAACATGTTCGGTTGATTCGACATGTCTTTTCCCCATCTATGGCAGGTTGATTCCTGCTGGGGCAGGATGTCTCGTCACGAGCTATGATTTCTTACGGTTTTTGGAAATACCCCCCACACTTGGATTGGATATAGATGGGAGTTATATATGGTGGGGGGAATAGGAATAGACTCGCGAATAGACAAATGATCATCAGATCTTGAAAATATTTACATGAAATATACGATCCTTACTTCTTAAAAGCTTTCCTCTCAAACATAGTATTACTTGACTTCTAAACCATGTGACTCAAGGCCAGAAGGGGAGAAAAAAGGTACCTAAAACCTGGAAAATCCTGGGGGGCAAAAAAAGCCCTGAAAGACCCACGAGCACACGAGCAAAGGAACAAAGCGATAAAATCTCCGAATGAACAGACGATCACACAATAATTTGCACGTCAACATAGGAAGAAAGAATAGTGGAACCACGAAGCTTCTGCCTAACACAGCGAGAACAAGTATGATCACGCTCTAGAACAAGTTATAGACAGGGACCCTTAACAGACCTCCCAACACACCAACCTTCCATTCGCAGATCTGACTCCACCCCTCAAGCCCGTTGTACAGAATGTCGATCCTCCGCCAGTCGGATGAGCGGATGGCGTTCAAAGTGTCCACTGAGGGGTCGAGTAGCTTCGATATCTTCGATGGGAGATTTCCGACTCGTAGCATCGATCTGATTTGCTGGATCTTTTTTGAGTGTTGTCATTACAAATGTACTATTACCTTCGTCATAGGGCTATAGATTGCTCCATAGGATGTTGTACAACGCAAGTACACGTGGTATGGACTCCTGGCAGACAGGTACATAACTCTATAACTCAAAGTGCCGAGTTACCCATTTACATGTAGCAGGTCTGTCAGGGCTTGTTCCTATTGAGAGGCGAGATCGAATATGTGGGTGAACCGCTCGTCATCAACCGTGGAACACATTTCGGCTAAATGTTTCTGGAATTCTGAAAGAAGCTGATTATTAAGCTTATTCTATCCAATGGATGGGGCTACCCTAGGTATGCTTAAAGTTTTTCCCCCAACTCTTTTGCCGTTTAGTCGTTCCAAAAGCCAAGACTTACCGGTTTTTACTCGGCAAATGGCTTAATTCTTGGTTGCCGGTCTAGAACCATTGTTAAAGAGTGGAGATTAATCCTTACTAACTAGTTATAGGTATTCTCATTGAACAACACAGTAGAATGTATTCGGCATTCGAGGTGACAGCCTGCCCTGCTGGGTAGAACCGGATGCTCTCGGGTAGAATGTGACTCAAGGGCTTCACCGTTGAGTACCAACTGGGCAGGTCATATTTGACACTGCTTTGACTTTCCATATTTGTCAATAATGTGCTTTCTTTTGCGGTGTGGAGGGACATATCGCAGACCTTGGTGCCCAATGGCTTGTATATATGATCACGTGAATATATTTGAATAGTCAGCATTGTCTTTACCTACCTACCTAGGTAGGTATTCAAATCAGGTATCTTGGCATCCAAAGTAGTGAATAGTATAGAGTTTCTTTATTGCCATTGCTTTTGGTGTAATGTTTGGAAGCCAAGGCATCTAGACCTCAAAATTTGGAGGCATCAGGTAGATCTGGATTTAAGTTTCATTGTTGCTGACCTTAAAAATATGGCCTTTTGGATAACAGAGGCAATCAGAATTGGATGGATTAAAAGCACCAGCCGAGTTCACCTTCGGAGGGAATGGTTGGTTCCCCGGAATTGAGTGTTGTGTACAAAATAGCATAACATGCAGCCTTTGTATGGACGGCCCATAAACTGGAGCTATCAGTATGTTGTGTGACATTGTGTGAAAGGACACTCAACTAGGGAAAAGAGCCATCAACATACCAAATGAGTGTAGCTGCCTCAGGCACCAACTATGACCTGAGGCTGTAACATTTTTGTTCTATGAAGGAAAGGGAAAAGGATGAAGAAAAAAAAGATGGGATAAATGGGATAAATGCAAGAACGACCGGAGTTAAACTAAAACACTAGTATTTAGCTCGCTCTTTCCTTTGTCTCGCACTTTCCAAGATACTATATACAGACACACTGCTCGCTATGTCAATTTCAGAAGTGTGTACATGCCTAGGTGGATGAATATACGAGGGGCTTAGTCTTCACCCCTTTGGATTATTTTCTCAGGACTTTCATTATCAAAATGGTTAAAAATGTAGCACCAATATCTGAAAAATAAAACAAACCGCAAGTGAAAGGGTATCTCAACTAAACAACAGACAAATAGACAAGATTCATGAGAGAAAAAAAAGGAAAATAGTCCAGATCTATCTAGCCTTCCTCTGAGCCAGCCACTCCCTCCACCACTCCATGAGCTTATGCGATCTCATAGCCTTGATAAACGCATAAGCAACAACCCGATATATGATCGTGCAAACACCCAACGCCATGATATTCATCGGCCCACTGGTATCCAGATTGTAAAGCTTAAGCACCTGCTCGCCAGAATCAACAGGACAACTCCCATCAGCCAGCCTCTGAGCATCAGAGCAATGAAACACCTGACCATGCATTGAATACGGTGCCAGATTAGCAATGGCATACTTAATCGGCGAGAGATGATTCAACCCCTGCAGCACATTGTTGACATTGAGGCTCATGACGCCGCCGAGGATGGTCGAGATGGAGAGTAGGGTAGACGTCACATTGACGGCGAAGCCAACGTGGGAGAACAGCGTGCAGAACATTATACCCACGGACTCGCCGCAGCTGATTATGCAGAAACAGTTGAACGCACTGATGAGGAACATCGTTACGGTGCGTTGTAGGTTGTCTGCGAAAGCGGCTAACGCGCCGAAGATTAGTGATGCGACTATTTCGAACGGAATCTCGATTGCCGTGTAGCTGAGGATGAATGTTGATGCAGTGTAGCAGTTGTCTGCTTCTTCGCGGTAGAAGACGTCGCGTTCGCTGGGGTAGATTGCGATATTTTGAAGCATGCCTATTTAAGAGATTAGTATGATTATTTGAAAAAGGATGGTCCAGCGAAGAGAGCCGAAAAATAATGGAGTAAACTTACCGACAAAGTACAACGCTGCAAACTCCTGAATGAACCCCATACGTGATTGCACAGCTGCATAATCATTCTTCAGCGGCGCAAAGAAAAGTGCCATGATAATCGCGATCCCTGGAATCTGCATCGACCGCGCCATAACCAACGGCGGCTGGCGCCAGAAGTTGACCACAGAGCGGTGCAATACCAGTGGGAACGTCACTCGGAATGGAAGCATCTGGCGCTTGAGACTCCCTAGTTCTGCAGGTGTGGCAATCTGCGATGTCTGCCGGTCTAGCCCTAGCTCCAGAGGGTTATCTTGCCAGAAAGAAATAAGGCCCTTCACACGCTGACGCGTGACGACTTCACGGTCTGCTTGCTGGAGATCAACCGTAATGAGATCCAGGACAAAGTCTGCTGGGTTGGTTGTGCGCGGACATTCATGGCCCTGCTTGGCGAAGTGCGCGAGCATGTTCGTTCCAGGGCCTGCGTAGACGGGGTAGCCGCCGCGCGCTAGGAGGAGGACTTGGGAGAAGTGGATGAAGAGGTCTGATCGGGATTGGTGGAGGGTAAGGATTAGAGTGCGGCCTTCGGCGGCGAGGCTGTGAAGGAGTTCGATTATGGACATTGCTGTGAAGGCGTCGAGGCCAGAGGTTGGTTCGTCGAGGAGGAGGACTTTGGGGTCTGTGAGGATTTGTATTGCGATTGTTACGCGCCGCTTCTCGCCGCCGCTAATGCCTTTGATGAGGTCGCTGCCGATGAGATTGTCGGCGCATTCCTTCAGTCCCATTTTAAAGAGGATCTCTTCTGCGCGTCGGTTCTTTTCTTCGCGTGTCATCCAGGTTGGGAGGCGTAGACCTGCCGCGAATCGTAGACTCTCGCGGACGGTCAGTGAGGGCATCAGTGCGTCGTCGTCTTGTGTTACGAAGGATGTCACTGAGCGGACCACACTCTCTGAGGGTACGGCGCCGTTGTATAGCATGTTACCATGGACGCGGTACTGTGTCCCTGCGGAACCTTGCAACCTGTGGGCTATGGAGTTGAGTAGCGATGTTTTGCCGCTTCCAGATGGGCCCATGATAATGTTTAGCTCTCCCGACTGAAACTCAGCCGTAATGGGTCTCAGGATCCGTAGTATGCTCGCGGTTTCCCAGGGGTTTTGTCTCTTTCGAATATCCAAACCGTAATTGTCAAGCGATATTGTCACTTTGCGCGTTTCTTCTGTTGGGCGGATAGCGAGCTTAGACTTCCCACCAGTTGCGCCTCCTTCAGATTTTCGTGCTTGAGCAACATCAATGGCGAAGCGGTTGTATTGGAGTAACAGACCAGCGAAGAGATAGTGGGCAACGGCAAACGCGACTAACACCACAACAGGCCGCCAGATCCAGTGGGACGGCATTCCTAGGCTTTCCATGATATAGCGCCCAGTGTATTGCTTGCAGGCCGGGTCTAAAGGATCATTGGAATATGGACAGTCATAGAAATGTGTCAAATTGCAAGGTTGCATACATGGGATGATACCATACAGATTATGTAATCTAGCTTAGTCATAACCGCACAGAAACAGCAGTTTCTATTATGTAGAAAATGCAGAGTTCTCCATATCAGCCCTAAGGTGCATACATTTCAATACGTCAGATTTCTGTCAGTTATGAGCCCGGCTTTGTTCCATTAAAACATCAATTCAAAGATCAACCCTACTTCCAATCGATACTAAGGTAGTCAAAGTGATAGAAGAGAAGTCATCTACCTAGCGACGAAGCAACCCCTAAATCGAAGAAAAATCGGAAATCTGTCTAAATCATGGCCGATTATCTCTCCGCGGGTCTATCCTCCCGCGTTATTCTTAAGAATACCGAAACTTAGGATATATAGATCGCTAATATCGAATCGATTGTAGTGCAATTTGACGTTTAGGAGCTATATAATCCTAGTAAGGAAAAAGAACCGGAGATACGGAAAGCTCCGGTAGAGATTATATCGATTAAAGAAGCGGAGAAAAAGTATGGCGACAAATAGGTCGATACTTATAAAGTGATTTAATCGAACTAGTCGATAAAGAATATACTTTATATCTAGGAAAAGAAGGGGTTAAGTATAATTATAACGGCAATCTAGAATAACGTTTACGTAAACTTCTAGCTGTTTATTATAGACTATAAGACTCTATATAGTCTACTCCGAAACCTTCGAGAAAGGTTCGCCTTAGAGTATAATCCGACCTATTCTACTAGGCTCTGTTAATAATAGAGAAGCCTAGATAGAGGGTTAGATAAGAATATAAATATCGACAAATAGCTATTAAACTAAGAGATAGTTTAATTAAGCTATAAAAGAGTAGGAATACTAGAAGTAAATAATACTTCGACTTAGTTCCTTAATACTATCTTAGTAATATTACCTAGATTCTACGAGATATAGACTCTAAGACTATAAGATAAAGAAGATATCGGATTTACTAAGCTTCTTAATCGGTATCGAGCCTACTAGAAGATTACCTATAGTAAGCTAGTTACTAATTAAAGGGGTATCTCTAAAGCTACTTTTTCGATATAGTAAGGCTACGAAGAAGCTAAGCTAAAGATATCGGATAAAAAGTTAGCTAATATAAAGTTAGCTAGAGAAGAACTACCGTTCAAATTAAAGCTATATCTATATAGATAGAACTATAGACGCTACCTACCTTAGAAGTATTAGGACGTCTTTAATAAGGATAAGCTTTCTAGGTATACTAGAAATAAAGAAGCTAAATAGAAATAGGAGAAAGCTATAAAGGCTAACCCTACTTAGAAGGCCTAGGTTAATAAGAGACGTTAAGAAAACCTAGTATAATAGGGGAAGGCAGCGTAGTAAGCAAATACCACCCTCGATAACGAAGATAACTTATTATATAGATTCTTCTCTATATAGGCTAGCACGCTACCGGTAGCTAGACTATAGGCTACTAAGCTATAGGCCGGCGTACTAAAGGCAGGTAAGCCTTAGGAAACTAAGCTATAGGCCGGCGTACCTTAAGAAAGTAAGCCCTAGGTAAGCAAGCCGGTAGCTAGTAAGTAAGAAATTCCAACCTCTACTAATATTATATCTACCCGAATCTAGGATACCGAGATCGAACCGATCGGAAAGCGGTAGGTAGTCGATACCGGCGTATAGATATATATCTATAACAATCGGGAGTTGTTTAAAACTTTTGAAGATATATAGAGTAGCGTTAGGGTAGGAGATACGGAAATAAGCATCGACGGGGTAGGCACTATAATAATCTATAGTATTAGCGTAGTCGATAGTAGTAAAGTAGTTAAAATAAAGCTATATAATACTAAGTACTCGCCTAATTTCTATAGTAATCTAATATCTAATAGATTAATAATAAAAGCGGGGATAGTAATAAACTTTAGAAAGAACTATATCGAAACAACTACTAGAAAACCGGTATATAGAGTATATTAGGACTAGAAGTTAATATAGTTAAAACAACTAAAGACGTCGAAGGATATAGCTCTTACTACTATAAAGAAGTTAATAAGTAAGCTAAAGTCAGAAGCTTCAATCTAAATTTAGTATAGGCGCCTAGGCTATATTAGTTAGTAACGTCTTACTAAGCTAGTAGAGATAACTAAGGGGATTACTATTAAAAGCAATCCTAGTAAAAACGAAATATAGGTATATAAAGCTTATTAATTAGTAGATACCCCGAAGTAGATCTCCCGCCGGAAGATAGGAGAGATATATAGTATCTTTAGAAGGGTCTATTTCGACCTAGTATAGAATCAAGTAGCTTATAATAGGCATATTTAATTAACGTATTTTTACCTTAATAGCATTAGATATCATTTTGTCTTTACCTATACTAAAAAGAACGATTACTAGATTATTATTAGGAAGTTCTTAGTATTAATTAAGAACTAGCTAAAGATCGAGATTAGGGTATTCTACTATAATAATAAGCGGAGTACGTGTAAAGGATAAAGGTCCTTTCAAAGGTGAAACAGGAACTTGGGCGACATATATATTCATAGAAGTTTCTATCACGTATACGAATCGTGCGGGGTTCGTCACCTAATCGGTATCGAACCTTAGCACGTATATTTCCTTTTAATCTTAGGTCCCCCGGGACCCCTAAATTCTAGTAAGAATTAGTCTTAGTATATATAGCCTAATATACCTTTATTTCCTCTTCCTAAGCTAACGTATCTTACCCGGTTGATAGGCCTTATACCTAAAAATAGTATATTCTTATAATTCTAATTCTTCTTTTTTAACTACCTAAGATATAATAGCTCCCCTAACTATCTATAATAGCTCGCGTAATAATACCGAGGCGCTAGAGTATCCTATCTAAACCGGTAGCGAATTAGGAATACTTCTATCTATAGAAGAACGAGAGGAAATATTAACTTAGGACCTATCTAAATAAACTACCGAAATAGCGGTAGAAAGCTCTTATATCGCCGACGAAACCCTTCGAAGCCTAGAAGAAAAGATTATAGAGTATAAAGCTAGAGTAGTATTATAAGAATATATTCTTATAGCCTAAAAAGCGGTCGCGGAAAATAAAAAGAAATTTTAGGATTTTAGTTAAATAACGAGAAGATCTTAGAACTACCGCGATTTATCTATAAAAAGCGAACCCTTCTAAAAAAGAGAGATTAAAAAAGATATTAGCCGATTTAAACTAGATTTCGGTATAAAATAGAGAGAGGACTAGCTAAATAATCTTAAAGCGCTCTTTAAAAGAGCTCCGAAAAAATACGTCTTAGGAACCTAAAAAATCCTCGCTACTATAAATTACTTATATACCTTTTATAAAGGAAAATAGACGTCTTATAAATAGAAATATCCTAAAAAGGTATCGGATTAAGATATATTTAGGAAATAGATAAAAATACTTCTAAAGAACTCCTATAATATTATTACTAATATTCTCGTCTAGTTCTAAGAGGCTATAATAAAACCCTACTAGGACCCTCGTAATTTCGAAAACTACCTCGAATCGCTAAAGAATTACCTCCTAAACTAAAATAAAAAATAAAGGGCCTAGACCCTATTTATAAAACTATAGAAACCTCTCCGAGATATTATAATTACTACTAATAATAATATTTTACTAATAAACTAAGACGAAATATTAAAGTTAGTATTTATATTTTATTATATCTATTTTATATACTAGAGGCCTAGGAAGGACTTCTTAAACTATTATTATTAAGATAAAAAAAGATAGGGAAACTATACTAATTTAATATTAAATTACTCCTATATCGAAATCTCAACCCTCTAGGATAGAAGATAACCTCGGGGCAGAGGGTAACCTAAAGGTTTTAGAATCCGAGGCTAGAGCTAGGGATATAGATTAAATAATCGAGATAATTTATAAAGCTCTATAAATAATATATAGTCTAAAAAAGGAAATAGTACTAAAAAGATACTAGAAAGCGCTTATTTTATCTATAGAGATAAAAACTACTAGGCTTAGGATTACCTTTAGAAAGCCTTAATTTAATCTATTATCTAAGTATTAAAAACTTAGGATTCTAGATAATTAGGAAAAGTCGAAGAGCTAGAGTAGATCCTAATATACTAGCTTAATACCTACTTATTAGGACTATAGTACGCCTTTACGTACTAATTACTATATATAATAATATTAAAACGTACGCGGATCTAGATACTAGCGTAGAATATAATATAGTTAGTAGAGAGTTCGCTAAAGAAAATAAATTATATACTATATCCTTTATATCTTTATTACTAAAGGGCGTAGCCCTAGAACGACTCCGTACCTACGGTATATACTAAGTACCTTTTATAATTAGAGACTCTAGAGGGACTAAAAAGATAGTAAATCGATCCTATATCGAGATCGAGAGAGATCCTAGACTAGAAGGAAGCCTAATACTTCTATCTAGGACGTTTATAAACGAATTTAACGTGATTCTACGTCCTAGTATAGATAAATAGTAGTTCGGAATAAAGAGTTTCGAACTCTAAAACCCCTATAAATTTATAAAATAATTAAGAAATACCGCTATTATCTATATATTAGTTAAGATACTAGAAGAGGTCTAGTTACTAGACGAAGACGCCGCTATATCGGATATAGATCGGGCACGAATACCCCTCGAATTAGAGGAGTTCCTTAACGTATTTAACCACGAAAAAGCGGGCACCCTACTAAGGACCAAAATATCCGATTATACGATCGAACTTAAAGAAGGGAAAACCCCCCTTATAGGCCGATTTACCCACTATCTAGAACCGAACTCAAGGAGTTATAGGCCTACTATAAAGGATAAAGGTCCTTTCAAAGGTGAAATAGGAACTTGGGCGACATATATATTCATAGAAGTTTCTGATACGTATGCGAATCGTATAGGGCTCGTCACCTAATCGGTATCAAACCTTAGCACGTAT